CCTCATTTTTTTTTGCCTCAGATGTAGAGGCGTGCGCCTCATTTTTTGTGCCTCACAGATTGAGCATCGAGGTACAGAAGCTGCGCCTCACAGTGAGGCGGGCGCCTTATTTTTTTTGCCTCAGATGTAGAGGCGTGCGCCTCATTTTTTGTGCCTCACAGATTGAGCCTCGAGGCACAGAAGCTACGCCTCACAGTGAGGCGGGACTCAGCAGGGTTTTTTCATACCATGAGTGTGAGTATGATTTGAATACCGTGAAAAGATGGAAATGTTGTTATAGATCATTCACACAGCTTCTTTTTCTATATAAAATGTTTAAACACATTTCTTTTCTTCACTTTCTTATTTTATCAACTACTTTTTCTCTGTGTGCGCATTCGGGGATCACAAGGGTGTAATGTAAGATCTTTGATATGTTGAAATCAAGGTAGTTGAGCTCTTTGGAAATTTGAAAAAGATTTTGTGTACCTTGCTCTCTCCTTTATTCTTTGCCTCTCTGTTGCTTCTGCCCAATTTGTTTTTTGCTAGGTAAAGAGGCTTTGGCTTTGTAATTGTAGTACTTTTCGGAATTTATGATTCTTTTGCTTTGTGCCTATTGACCTAAAATTTAAAGTTGAGAGTGATTTCAATTGAGTAATCTGGGCATCCTGGATAGAATAGAAGTTGGGCATCCTGCAAAACTGGGCAGTAAGTTGGACAGTAATCTGGGCATCTTAAATAATACTTTCTTTACAGAAGTTGGACAGTAATCTGTGCATCCTGCATTTGTTCCATTTTTTTTTCATGGTCATACATGTAAAGAAAGTATTATAGCCACGTTAATTTTAGCCCATTTTCCTGTGCTGACTATTATATTTTTATTGTTGTCATCATAATCATTTTTGAATTTCTTCTTTTTCATTTTTGTATCATTTCATCTCTGGTAATTTGTAAATAGGCATGGACTTGGGCAAAACTATTTTTTGTAATGCACTTGCTGGTTTTAATCCTGCTTCCTCGTAGCTGGTTATTTCTGTTTACTCTTTTGTTATCTTATGGTGTTGACCAATACATACTCAAGGTTGGTGAGGGTTCTGCTGCACAATGCATTTTTGGTTTAACTGCTTTGGACATCCCCCCTCCTCGTGGACCTCTTTGTTAATTCTTTCTCAGGTTCATGGATTATGTAATTTAGTTTCCGGTTGCATTACATGTTGGTGGAAAATATTTTAATGCATCAATGTGATGTGCAAGATCTTGGAAGATGTTTTCATGGGTCGATACCACACCGTATTCGATGGTGGCAAACTGAGAGTTGGATTTGCTGAAGCAGCTTGAACAAAACCCCCCACCCCCTCCTTCCCCGTGTTTATATATGGTCAGTCGTGCCTCATATGTTTATCAGTAATCAAGACGGTTGTTGTTTAGGCTGTTAATGGCCTTAGACTAAAGGAGAGAGTAAATATTTTATCGGTATTTAATATGAATGTAGCATGATGGTTTTGCTTGTAAGGTGCTTAAAGTGGTTGCTCAGACGGTTAATGGCCTTGGGCTAAAGGAGAGAGTAAATATTTTATCAGTATATAATATGAATGTAGCATGAAGGGTATGCTTGTAAGGTGCTTAAAGTACAAAATATGGGTTTGTGCTTGTGATTTTAATGCTGTTAACGTTAAATGTTTCTTTCTAGTTCATGGAGTCATTTTGCAATTGCACCATCACCTCAAAAATAGATCTGCAAACAAATTTTGTAAAGCCAAGCTCTTTCAAATGTAATCTCAAATACGAGTTCCAACAAATTTGAGCACAAATCTCTCACCTGTCAACCAATTTTGTGGGATTTCTGTCCATGATTTTGGAATATACCGATTGTGCAAGCAACAACTAGATTGTTCAAATAGTTTAACTCAAGCTAAAGGTTTGTTGTCAATTTAGATTCAAATGAGCTTTGTCCATGACATGTCATACAAACCTAAAAAAACATTTTTGATTATTCTCTTTACTATAGATCTTTTTGGATCAATCATTTTCATTCGCTAATAGTTAATCAAGAAGTCATACATTTTGATGCTAGTCAAACAGCTCAAATGAGACAAGTTAGGGATCAAATTGCTTCATAAATGTGGAATGACTACTCAAGAATTAAATTCTATATGTTATTTAATACTATATTAACATTACACAATTAAAATTTATTGAATACTCATTTTTTTGAATAAAATATTCTTAAAAAATTCTCAAAATTTCAAAGTAAACGCGTTTTCCATTTTTATGTTTTCGGAAATAGTTTTTCAGAATGGTAAAGAGAACGTATTTTCAGAAATTTTAAAATAGACACTCAAAACACAAAATATAAAATGAATTCAAAACCCAAAACACAAAATTGAAACATAAAGAGAACGGCCTCTTAAGTTTTCTAAATAAGATTAAGGACATGTTTGATGTAGACTCTTTGAGAACGGATTGTGTGAAAAATGATTTTTTTTTTTAATCTGTTGATTAAAAATAGAAAAAATTATGAATTCACGTTTAAAATTATTTTATTGAAAGAATATATGATTAAAATGATTGAGCAAAAATTATTTTGCCCTTGTTTTCAGTCCATTTTGGTAGAATATTTGGATATAAATCGTTATAAAAAACAAGATGCACTAATTAATTGAAGTGGCGGTTGCAGACTTGCAGTTGGTATCATATCAGAGAATCCCAACTCCTCAAGACTGATTCAGCCGCCAGGATTCAAAGTCAAACCCACGAGCTTTGACTAAGGAAACTCATTCCACGGTCAAATTTTCTATCACCTTCTTAGAACAAGCTCTTCATGTCAGTATTTATTAATTTTTTATCTTTTCAATCCCTCTTCAAAACTTTCCAAATTCTTCCTTTTATTTAATTCAAATGTCTTCTTCAGGTAGCACCTTCAACACTTCTGTTGATTCACCATACATTTCTGCTTTCACTGATCTTCTTGTACGCCGCAATAATAACAGTATTAAACAAGAAATGAACAGTGAAGATAAATCTTCAATCAAATGGGATTTTTCTGATCAAAACAGTATTGAAATCCCAAATTATAAGTCATTTTCACCAGCTTCTTTACCCATATCACCTTCTCCAGTTTCTCCTTCATCTTATCTTTCTATTCCTCCCAGTTTGAGCCCTTCTGTGTTTCTTGATTCTCCTGTCATGTTTTCATCCTCTAATGTAAGTCCCAAATTTCTTTTAATTTTTATGCTAGCTAGTAGAATTCAGGTAGTCGAACCCAAATTTATGTATGTCTTTTGTGACACAGTGATGTTGGAAAATAAGCAAGGTTTTCTAGGTATAGAAGCTAGTTGAGGATCATGATCAAAAGAATTCATGTAGTAGAACTCAAATTTATTTAGAATAGTTTGTTTATTTGTGTTTTTTATCAAGGAAAGCAAGGGGTCTAGGTATGGAAGCTAGTCCACCTAAATTCACATAGTCGACCCTAAATTTATTTTGAAAGAAGACTTTAGCTAGTTGTTTAGGCAGTGTAAACGGATTCATGTGATCGATATTGAGTTTACTGGAAATGGGACTAATGAAAAATTTGATATGTTTGTGCAGGTTCTTCCATCTCCCACTACAGGAAGTTTTACTGATTTGCTATCTAAGGATGATAGAAAGTATTCTGATTTCACTTTTCAAGCCCAAAAAAGGCCTTCAAGTTCTTCATCGATGTTTTCGTCTTCTGCAGGAAGAAATCAATTGGTATGAGCCCGACGTTAAAAGCAACTCTTAGTTATTTTCATTACTTCGAACTTGCTAGACAGTTTTAAAATCAGTTTCATGCTTAGAATCTTAATTTTCTTCTAATTTATTTGGATTTAAACAACTTAGTATATAAAACCCGCATCAAATATTGCATAATTATATGATTCTTCGAAGATTATTAAAGAGAAACCTGTAATTCTACATGTTGAAAGAATGATTATAGTCATATTACAGTTCAAATGTAATCAAGAAGTGCAATTATTGTGGTTCGTTTATCCTTAATATTTATATGATTCTGTCGTACACCTAGTAATGAACCGAACAAGGAGGCAAAAAGGGATTATTGTAGTCGACCTTAAATTTAATTAAAAAAATAATTAAATAAAGTGCTTAGTTTATTATTGAGGTCGTTCTTCTTTGTATCGATGGTTCCCTTACTGACGATTATAGTTCAACAGGAGGATTTGTTAAGAAGGAATCAAGAAAATGAGGCATTCAATACTCTAAACAAGCAAACTGAAGTTTCAGCAGCTAAATTCTCTCACGATGTTTCAACAATTCAAGCAAATATGGGGGGCAATTTGGCTCAAACGCACTATGCTCAACCTACTCAGTATATAAAGGAGCAGAAGAAGTCGAATGATGGATACAACTGGAGGAAATACGGCCAGAAACAAGTTAAAGGAAGTGAAAATCCTCGCAGTTATTACAAGTGTACGTTTACAAACTGTCCGACTAAGAAAAAGGTCGAACGAAATTTGGACGGACATATTACTGAAATAGTGTATAAAGGGAGTCATAATCACCCCAAGCCTCAATCCACTCGAAGATCATCTTCGAATTCGATTCAGAACCACGCATACGGTAATATGGGAATTTTAACTCAATCAAACTCAATGCTCGAAAATGCTATCGGGGAATCTATCACAGCCCCGGAGAATTCATCAGCTTCTTTCGGTGATGATGATTTCGAACAAGGCTCACCAATGAGTAAGTCAAGAGACGAGGAAAATGAACCCAAAGCCAAGAGATGGTGAGTCTAGCACTTGATAATTTCCATTCGTACCTGATATTAGAATATCTTACAGTACTAAATCTCTATATCTTTTTCAGGAAGGGGGAAAATGAGAATGAAAGCATGTCAGCTTCGGGCAGCAGAACGGTTCGAGAACCTAGAATCATCGTTCAAACCACAAGTGATATCGATATCCTTGATGATGGTTACAGATGGAGGAAATACGAACAGAAAGTCGTTAAGGGCAATCCAAATCCTAGGTAAACATGATTAGCACCTCAATATTTTGTCTGTTGTTTTCCCTTAATGAAGTCAGAAACCTTAATGACATCAATTCCTGCAGGAGCTACTACAAATGTACATACAATGGTTGTCCGGTTAGGAAGCACATAGAGCGAGCATCTCATGACATGAGGGCGGTGATCACCGCATACGAAGGAAAACACAACCATGATGTTCCTGCAGCACGCGGCAGCGGCAGCGGCAGTTATACTATGAACGAACCACATATTAACATGAACAGTGTACCTATGGCTATCAGGCCATCTACTGGGATGATGACGAATTTCCCCAATTCGATTCAGACGAACGGGGTATCAGGATCACAGAACCAAATGCCGTACACCCTTCAGATGTTGCAGGACCCGGGCAGTTTTACCTACTCGGGTTTTGGAGACTCGGTTGGTCCATATATTAATCAAATGCAACAGACAGACAATGTCCTCTCCATGGCCAAGGAGGAACCTAAAGATGACTCATTTTTTGATTCTTTTCTGAACTGAGGATTGCCTCGGAGCAAAACCCTCTAAGTGGAATCTTTTACTAGTTAAACACACAACATATACAATCTAAAACACTAAGGAGTTAAGTGTAATTTTTTGATTTGTTTTGAGGTTGTTGAAACCTAGAACAATAGCCTCAAATAAAACATAGTGTAACACGAAAAAAACTAGAATACAAAATGTCTTAGGGAACTTCAAAATATTTCTTTCTTTTCAAGTCAAATTTTTAGATAAATTTTGAATAAACAAGTTCTTTTTCTTGCCAATGCTTGCATTCTAGTACTTTCTGGATGTTTGTACAAAATCAGGAGAATACGTGCTAGCAGTTGGCTTATCACATCAAACTTGTTCTTCTTTGACGCCGGGCAGAATAGTGATTATTCTGCGGACTGGAACCAATTG